GTGCAATAGAAATTATGTTCTCAAGAACTCAGTTTAGAAGTTAAAGAGGAGCTACACTAAGCCAACATGCCATGTATTAATCTTCATATGACTTGTTTAAGTAAATTGACATTCCAGACTCAAAGTCCTAGAAACCTATCTCAGATGAATTTGGGGAAAAGAAAAAAAGTGGATCATGAAGACACTTACACTTCTGAAAGTTTAAGAACTAAGATATTTTGGTGCTCATTGATATGAACCAAAATGTCTCCTGTTTACTTTGTCTGCAGTATTTTCCATGTGACGACACATATGACCTCATATTCTTTATCCTTCACCATTTTACAGTGCATCTTAAAGCATACCTCATTCCCTTGAGCCAAGCCCCTTAATTGACTATCCAGTTAACTTGTTTCCAACTCTTCACAGGTATTTTGCAGGTTTTAGTGTGTAAAGATGCCATTGCCATTCATATGTAAACATGAATATTTCCACTCATTTAATTTTACTAATGCTATAATAAAAGTCTTACAAAGTCCAGTATAATTCAATACGTTTTTATAATGCAGAAAGATAAAATTAGAACAGCAAACATTTACGTATTAAACCGTAATAAAATATTTTTGACCCACACATAATAATTGTATGTATCTGTGAGGTGTGTGAAATTAAATAATTAACCAATAAGAGTAAATTATCTTAAAATGTGTTTTATGTGCCCGTGTGTTTATTTGAGTGTGCGCTCAGGCAGGCTTTCACTATGTAGCTGAGGCTGGCTTCATAGTTCCCATCCTCCTGTCTCAGTGTCAAAAGGACAGGTGTCACACCCAGTTCACAGGTATTCATTTGTTTGTTCGTTTATTTATTTATTTACCTATTTATTTATTTATTTGTTTGTTTGTTTGTTTTTGCCATGCTAGGAGTTGTACATATATTCTCTTGCATGCTAGGCAAGAACTCTACAAGTAACTTTTCAAAAGAGTTTCTGACTTTTTTTTAATCTTTTTAGAATACTCTTGTTAATTTCTACTTTTATTTCATTTAGAGTGCCATCTTTGTGGAATGGATCATGTAACACATTAGTGGAGTACTTTATCATTGAATACCTGATTAAGTTTGCTAAACATTCAATGTGCAGTGGGCTACCGTGGAACCTCCCAAGCTGGAAGCAGGTCCTCTGCCCTCTGCTCTCTCAGGAAAGAATTCTCATTGCATGGAATGCATCCTTCTTAGAGTTCCATATTTGCCTCAGTAGTCTGCCTTAACCTGTTCCTGTCTGCTGTAGAGACTCCAGTATAGACATAGGCTCAGTACACGAGTCATGCTATTTGTGATCTTCTTTCTAATGAAAACACACATGTTCCAAGCTAAAATGAGTATTCATAAAAAGTTTATTACATTTGTCAACAAAATCATCCTCAAGTAAATATAATCCTTTTGCATTCTGAAATATTTAAAAATTTTCATATTTAAAGATAAAGATTTGAAAGTTAATCTTCAGTATTATCCTTGGGGACTCATTCTTTTTACATATGAGTCAGATTCTCTAAAGAAACAGAACTGATTACACACATACATATATACATATAATTACATATTTAACATACATGGAGTTTATTATAGTGGCTTACAGGCTGCAGTCCAGCTGGTCTAACAATGCGTGTCTACTGATGGAAAGTCCAAAAATCCAATAGTTGTTCCGACCACAAAGCTGTATGTTTCAGCTGATCTTCAGTATATATAGGAATACTGAAGAATTAGGCTCCTGTACCAATGAAGGAGTGAACTTCCCAGTGAGAGGGAGGGCAAGGAGGCAGAGAGAGCAAGCTTCCTTCTTCAGTGTCCCTCAGAAAGATTGACACAAGAAAGGGTGGCCCACACTTAAGGTGGCTCTTCTGACTTTGAATGGTCTATTTAAGGTGGACCTTCCCTCCCCAAATGAGTCAATTAATTAAAAATCCCTCAGGCCCAGCAACTTGTATTAATTCGAGATGTAGTCAAGTTGAGAACAAATAACAGACATCACACTTATAATCCTAGAGTTTTTCTGCCAAACTCGCCAGTGACGGCAGACAAGAAATTTTCTCTCGCTATGTATTGCAAGTTTCTAGAGAACAAGAGAAAAATGATAACAAGAAAATTAAAAATACCGCTTCTCCAATTTTTCTAGAAAAAGATGGAAGCTTTTTACCCAGATTTCTCTTTTCTTATTCTTATTACTGTATTCATTTCTTTAAAATGTAAAATAGTACATTATCATATTTATACTATCTTATTTATTTTTATAGTTTGAAATAGTACGTAATCATAGCAGTGAATTACTCCAATAATACTGGTAGTAATACTAGCTTAAAACGGGAATTCCATTTTCCCCTTCCAGATCAAGTCTCCTGAAGTGTTCACATTTTTGACTCTTCTAATGTCAAGAGAAGCGATTCTCAGTCATACCCACATCTCTTCCCTTTCCTCACCTTTTATTATATGATACTTACTAACAAACAGCAGTGTAAGATGAAGAATCCAATTAGCACTTCTCCATCCCCGTTGATTTTGTTTGCTGTGCTATTTTCAGTTTTCCAATTGCTTGTGTAGCTTTAAATAATGTAATTAAATCTCCATTGCTCATTTCAACAAGTCTAGATAATAATGAAAGTGGATTTTAAATTACATGATGGATTACCAAAACCAAAAACTTATTCTGGGTTGGCAGCTGGGCGCATCTGCAAAAGCAGAGTAAAAGGGGTCAACAGGGTACCTTTAATATATGAGATTTCTTTACTTAATACTCCAAGGGAATAGCTCAAATTCTAGCTTTTTTTAAAAAATGTTGTCAGTAAGGAAAAGGGTTTTGTCTCTTCAGTGGTCAGAGACTTTGAAGAACTTCTTGGAGTATCTAAATGGAGACACAGGATTGGATTATAGATGATTATCAGTTTTTGTGAGCCTCCATAGGTATACTAGAATGATGCTTGTGAAAGCAACTGCAAAGTTAATCAGTGAAATATAAACAAAGTATTTAAACTAGGAGTTAATTCTGATGCAATTTATCTTCAGATCTGACTAAAAGATGCTGTTCAAATATTAACTAACAAAGATAGATCCTTGGACTGTCTTCAGTTGAGGGAAAAGTCATTATTGTGTATGAATTGAGCTGACTATTATAAAGGTTCCGTATGTGAGAGAGGGATAGGAAAAGAGATGGAGATATAAAATTAAATACAGGGAAAGGGACAATGGGAATGAGCAAGGGAGGAGGGAAGAAAGTGAGAGAATTCCAGAAACTTCCTGTGTGTATGATAGAGAGAAAAAGAATAATCATTTGGATTTAACAGAGCAATTTTTATACTGAGGTGATGTATCCATAGTTCTGAATCCACAGTAAGAAGACATAAAATGTTACTAAACTGCTGCTATCGATATCTCATTATTTATACAAAAATATAGTGATACCACTTAGAAAATGCATAAAGAACTGTATTGACCCTGGTATTTGTGTGAAGTAATAGCCATTGGTCAATAATTATATTTGATTTAATTATTATTTAATAAAAAAGTATTGATTGTGGTTATTTAATACAATTGCTCATTTTAAATGTAAGTCATCACCATGCAATATCCACTGAGAATTTCAACCACTGCATTTGCCTAAGAGCAGATGGTGTAGTTCAGTGTTCTTCAATTTCAGAATATATTGCATGAAAGCACATGGCTTCATCATGTAATTTACATTGGACCTTCCTTGGACACTGAGGAAAATTTGATTTTCCTTTAGACCTACCATTTACATATTTCAGCTGAAAGTTGTAAACCCTTAATGTTTCCTGAGCCATGTTCTATGAGAATTATTTCAAGGAGACATTAGTGGATATTCCCTGAATATACGTAAAACAAAAATACCATTTCCTCCGAGTCACCATGAAAAGCAACGTAGTTAACCAATTCCTTGAGAAGTCCTCCAGGAAAGGCTATCCTTTCAAAACGTTATCTGGTGAACTGTTTCCCAAGCTGATCAGTTGACGAAGGTTTTCATTGTTCTCTTCAGCATGCACGTCACTGTTTTCTCATTTAACCGAGCCCTGTTCAATTAAGCGTCTTTTACTGTAATGGCAGAGGTCAGGGGCTGCAACCCAAGACCACCTATTGCCAGAGCCTCAACTTACTGCTGCTTGGTCTTTTCATTTTAATGTTTATGTGTACTGTGAGTGCTTGTCTGCCTGTATATAGCTCCCCCGTGTGAGTGCGGTGCCTATGCAGTCAAGAAGAGAGTGTTTGGAGCCCTGGAACTGGGGTTACAGAGAGTTGTGGGCTGCCACGTGGATGCTGGGAAGTTCTGCAGGAGAAGGCAGTGCTCTACTTCACGTTAATCTCCCTACCCCAGTACCCTGCACCTGTATTGCAATCTTAACAGCTCAGTAGAGACCCCTGGACATCAAACTGAGAAAAACTGGCCTGAAGGAATCTGTCAGAATCCTAAACAGAGTCTCTTCGTACCACTATGGATTTAACAAAAACAACTGTGATATGTACTTTATTTCAAATTACACAGAAGTGAAATAGGTGTGGCTTTGATTTCTACAGAATTAAAATGTATTTTGAGCGCCCCCCCCGTTTCGCTGTAATTATATGGAAAAAATAAATTATTTAAGAGGAAAATACAAAAACACAAATCTTTTCTAAAGCAGGGAGAACACTTTAGTGCCTTTACATTTAGCTTAAGTCCTCTAAGCAGCTTAACACTCTAATTTTGCTTTCCCGACGTCCTCCTGGGAGAATCTCTTAGATGACGTTCCCGTGCACAGAGCTACTACGTGCTTTCATTTTGGATCTGAGAGAGGCTTATTTTCTCTTGCGATTTAGAATTAAGTAGAGAAGGTGTCCAATTATAAGTCCCAGCAACGGGGTTTCTAGTGCCTGCCTAGTGGCTATCTCGCTCAGCACTCAAGTGGGGCGAGCATCGTACTGTCAGCTTTCCCTGAAGCATGAGTGTACAGCACAGCTAAACACTCTGAATTTTCTTCCAGGAAGAACTGAACCCTATTTTGGTGACCCCACCTATCCAAGCCATTGATCAGGACCGAAACATCCAACCACCATCAGATCGACCTGGCATCCTCTACTCCATCCTTGTCGGTTTGTATCTGCCAACATTTTATCCCATTAGAAATCTGTGAAGGAACCCCCTCAAATCTTATCAAGCTCTTTAATAACAATATTTTTTTTTATTGGAAGAGCCTATGTAAAGCTAGATATAAGTCTGAGTTTTTCCTTCTTCCTGTTCTCAGTGAAATGTTATTAGAATAGGCAATGTTGCCTTTATAAAACAAACAAGATACAAACCAACTTAAAAGTATCCTTCATTGATTTCGAAATCAAAGGGAATACTTGCTTTGTTGAAGCTCCTGGAAGAAGGAAAGGACTACCAGCCCAGGAATGTGATATAGATACTCAAGCCCCATTTCTCCTCTGAAAACACCACATCCTTGCTAATCCATCATAAACATTATCAATTACAGAGACACATAAACGAAGACATTTGACAAAACTATGCTTACATTACTCTGATAAAACACAGATGTTGCTGATCTGCAGGACTGATGGGCTCTGGAAAGATAGGTACATGTTGAGACCAGTATCTCTCAGCTAAGAAGTGCTGAGCACTGGGGAATGTCCGCAGGAGATTTCAACATTACCTTCTAGTCCTGGGTCTCTGGCTTTGCCTCCAGCCTGGGTGCTCACAGGCACACATCACCATGTTAGGCAGATTCTAGACAATTCATGCTGTCATACAAAGAAGTGATATTTCTAAAATTTCGCCCAATAGTCCTATTCTAAGGCTTTAGAACAATGTATAAAACACGGGCCAAATGTAAAGACCTAACCATTAAATTATTATTATTTTTTAATTATTATGAATCCAAGTCTTTGAAAGCCTATAGTTGTCTTGTTATAAATAACAAGAAACATAAAATATTTGATCCACTAACTGAAAAAAAAATATATAAAACATGTCCCTCTGTGCTATAAATAGAGAAGTGAGAGGGAAGAGCTCCAGATTAAAGGGGGGGTAAGATGGGCACAAAAGTATCAAAAACAGATTAAGATAGATTGAGGGGTAGGATGGCTTTAACATCCAGGGGTAAACTGAGGCAAGTGGGGGTAGAGTCAGCAGCAGGGCCAGAGGCTAATAGCTCCTGCCCTCTGTGATTGGACACTTGTGGTGCCCAATGATAGCCTCTGCTGGAAGCAGCAGGTGATTAAAAGGAAAACAGGGCACCAATGGTGATTGCTCCTGGCATTTGGTGCTAATACTTAACAACTGACAAGAAACTCTGAACTCTCTTTAACTCTTTAAGGGCCAGAGCTGGTGGCTCCTGCAGATTCAGGGCTAGTACTGTTCCTGACTGGTAGAACTCTCTTTAACTCTTTAGGGACCAGAACTGAATACTCTTGGTGAGGCTGTTGGGGATAAAAAAAAACCACACATTCACACACATACACACTTGGTAGATGAAGCAAAGGCAGGCTCCAACCACTTCATACATACATACATACAAACATGCATAAGTACATACATAAATACAGACAGACATGCAGACATTTACACTTTCACACATTCTTACACACACACACACACACATACACTTGGGTGGAGCAAGGCAAACGCCGACAACTTCATACAGACAGACAGACAATCAAGCAGACAGTCACACATTTGGAGGACAGTGGATGGAACAAAGCTCCAGCTCCGACAGCGATGCTCTATTAATTCTCTCAGCTTTCTTTATACTTCCTAAAACAAAGTTCTCTATGTAAAAAGAAAAACTACCTCATAGCCATAAAAGCAATTATCACAAAAACAGATAAGTCATTACACAGAGGGAGTTACAGCAGGATTATTGATTACATGTTTTTCCATTAAAACTTGTACCTAACTAAACACTGCTAATCTATCTCTCCATTCCATAAATTCATTGTGAGTTCAAAGCAATAGTTCTTCATGTCATAGGTTAACAGGGTTTAAGGTTAACAGGGTTTAAGGAGTTCCAGCAGGATTACAGTTTATATGTTTTCCCATTAAAATTTGCACCTGACTAAACATTCTTTATCTAGCTCTTAGCTCCACAAGTTCATTATGTTTAATGTAAAGTTTTTATTGTCTTCCATTCCACAAGTTCACTATAAGTTGAAAGCAATAGTTTTTATATGTCATAGGTTAACAAGGATTTTTACCAAGAAACACGTCATCTATCTTATGTCTTACTTTTGAAGTCTTATATAGCTAAATTAGCTAATTTTCTATTCTATATTCTATATTCATAATAAAACCACCCATTTTTTTGTTCATGGATTTTCTTATCATGGTGCATACTGAAACCTGATCTTATCTCTGGACCTAATCTGAGTGAATCTTTTTCCTTCATCATAAATCTGTCCCAAGCCTGTTCTCTCTAGTGCAATTTATGTGCTTGTGACACATGAAGGCTCACAGAACTCCTTATGCAGATTTTGCCATTCTGAAGGGGGGCTTAAAATTACTTGAACCAAGTCAGAAATTCTATAAATCATCATCGGGAATTATAAAATCATCAACTCATCTAAACAGCGTTATTTCATGAAAGCGCCCCTTCATATTGATCTGCAGGAAATTTGCCCAACAGAGTGGCCTAATGCCCAGGAAGCAATCACACCGGACTGTAGGCAGTGAGAATTCACTTACTTCTGGTCACATTTGTGCTAGATTATCTGAGGACTGCAGCAATGACAAGCGTGGAAAGGCATCTCGGCAGCAAGAAGCAATCCGGAGACAAAATCCCTGCTGTCTGTGTCTCTCAGGGACACTCAGCTCAGCCATGCAAAATGTTGGGCGCCTCTCGGAGGCTCATTTGCTTACTGCAGCCTTTCCTACATGACCTCCACCAGGGAAGAACTAAACATTTCTGAAAGAGCTGCATAGCTCCACCTACTTTAGCAGGAAAGCTGGTATCTGCAGGTGGAAACCAGTAGAATTACTGGTGCTACAAAGTCCTTCTGTAACCTCAGCCGGCATGCTGGCACCTTGAGCTGTTACTGCCTACCGTGTGCTTACCAAGGCTTTCTGCAAAGGAATAGAAAAATACTGACGGACTGACAGGAACGATGCTCAGGAAGATGATCAGAACATCTACAGAATCGATAACTAAAGACAAGCCTGTCTTTAATGATTACAGCTTGATTGATCCTTAAATGAATTAATGTTTTATGGATGCAAAACCCAAACAGATTGTTTAACTCTTGCTCTTCCTGTGTGTAACAACAGAGATATGAATTTAGTCTTTCTTTGAATTGGGGGCTACAGGGAAAGCATTCCAATTTAGACTTCTAGTAAGTACAAAGTTAGATCTTCTGCCAAACTGAATTCTTCATTAAATATGTATACACTTAGATATTTTAATTTGATTTGATGTAATATTTGTTATTTCAATAGTATAAAGTTTTACTTCTCATTACAGTCTTACGTTAAAGTGAATGCTGAGTTGGAAGTTTAATGGGACGCATGATCTTGGACTTGGACTTCTGTAACTGTGATGTAATAAACTGTGTTTTTGAAATAAGTAGTCTGTCTCAGGAATTTTATCATAATATCACAAAGCTGATTATATACTCCTCCAAAAACAAAAAAGAGAGGAAAGAAGAATGGGAAAGAAAGTCCAAATCAACTTTATCAGAAGTGAAAACTAAGGTTCTACATTTCTTATTGAGTATATAAGCAAAGCAACTAAAACTTGCTAATAGCGGCGAGCTTTCTGCTATTTTTACTCTTTAAGCCCCACAGTGACCTGTGGCAGTCTGACTTATCAGCCACTGAAACGAACAGAAAAAAGTTAGAGATCTCTCAGTGCCTCATTTATCAAAATTGCCACTTTCTGACCTTCCTGGGGTTCTATAGAACCACTATTAGAAACTAATCTCTCATGTCTTCAAGGCCAGAAAGCTTTCTCTCCATGGCCATTTGTCAAAACACTTACATCAAGCTCTTTGCCTTTGTGACTGCCTAACATGGTGGAAAACAGTTAAGGAAAATTTAAACAAGTAAAATGCTTGAAAGATAAAGAATAGAGTCCACTGAGGATGTCAAAACTTCAGCATGTCTATTGGAACCTAGAGCAATAGCAAGACTTAGGCTTGGGAAGTCTTTAAATTCTGCCCTCACTTGCTGACCTGCAGATACTTCCTCCCAAAAAGAGGCAGTTGAGGTAATCTTCATTTCAGAGGGCTCTCTAGAACACAAATTTGAGGACCAAATATGCTACTCAGACACAGAGAGCTCTCTGAAAGAGCTAGAAAGTGTGTTGGCCAGCATGTGTAAAGCCAAACAAAACAGAACAAAACCTCATGCAGTCACTCAGCAGTCCACACAACAAAGAATAACCTTTAATTTTTAATTCATAAAACATATATATTGCTACATCCAGCAGTATATCAATAAGCCTTGACAAGAGCAAAATTATGATTTCTTCAGTTGCCGTGTAATACGATTTAAAATGCCCAGATATAAAGCAATCAAATTATTAAACTAAAGAGAAATAATAAATTATGGATGTTGTAGATAGAAAATTAAGTCAAATATTGTTTTCCTCAGGAATATTAAGCTTTAGTCCACTGAACAAAGCCCTTCAGTCTCCGATTTACATATATAAAATGCCAAATGGAAGCAGCTACAAAGACATAAAGGAAATCAGAGGGGTGACGCAACAAAGAAGCAGACAGCATAAAAGGAACTAAACCAAAATTGAGAAATGTCACTGAAATTAAAGTTCTGCTAATGGTTATGAGGAGTGGCTTCAGCTGAAAAGAAAATGTAGCCAACGTGAAGAGAGATTAGCTGATGTTATAAAATCTAAAACAAATCATTACCTATAAAGCAATCTACTCTCAAATTGAAGAAAACAAGAAATAATCTTCTCAAATTCACCTGGAGAGCTTTCTGGTCATTCTGAACTGAGAATAAGGTTGACAGAGTGAAAAATCATCAAAATTATATAAACTATATTTTTTGACTATAGCCAGCCTTCATAGTACCCCAGACAAAACCTCAAAAACGAAACAAAACTCTACCAAATTACCATCAACTTGATGTGCCAGATGAATTA